ATAGAGTTGTAAAGTTTCAGATGTGTGTCAATCCAGATCAATATCAAAATTCCATGGATAATTGTAATTTAGGTCTCCAAATGCCTTTCATGCAAAAAAAGCAATTAGCAGAAGGAAAAGTTAACAAGTTGGAAATAATTACCATGAAAAGACAGAACACAAGCTAATCCACAAAAGGTAACAGTGAAAAGGCAGATGAGAGTTTTTAGTAGACTGAAGCAGTATTTTGAAACAATAATAAACCAGACATCAGCTTCAGTCGTACTGACATTACAAGATTTAATTATTTTAATACTGCACAGCAAAACAGCACAGTTAATTTAGAATATGTGGAAAATGCTGTGCAAAGAAAAAGCAATACATTAGATTTAACTTCAATCTTATTGAGACTAAGAACCTGTAAGTAGAATACAACTCTGACTAAAACTTTCTTAAAAATCCCTTTAGAAAGTAGTACTTGCAATATACAGCTCTGCCTAAAATATGAATTCAACTGCTAGAGATCAGCTCCTCCTCCTAGCCTCCTGCTCCCCCAAACTTTTCCAGTGCTTTACCCTTTCAGATGCAGACCTGATAAATGCAAGATCAGTCATAATACTATTACTACTGATCTGATCTCATATTCCCAGAAAATTGATTACAAAACTTGAAAATTATCTATGCACCAGCCATTTGATCCTATGAGACAGTTCTACATTTAAATTAACTCACACTTTTTTCATAAATGCAAAGCTTCAGTACTTTGCCATAGCAAGCAGGAAAAACATCAAATGCAAATACACTTAGTGTAGGCAAAGTCTCTTAGCTCTGTCTGCAGCTAAACTGCACACACACCAGAAAAAAAAATATCAGTGTTACAACAGTAAAATAAAGACAAATTCAGCATTTACCATTCTGTTCCACATACACCAGCAGTGCTCTGCAGACACTAAAAGCACCATTTTTTTAAATAAACCTGTAGCACTTCAGCTACACAATATATTGAGTTTTGTGGGGGGTTTAAATGTTCTAATTAATTCCATTCAGCAATAAAGATCTCACTAACTTTCAGTACACCCCAAAATATATTTTCAGTGGGTTCTGTTCATATGTGATCATGACCTACGTAAGCCTTGAAACATGAAACTTTTCCATGTAAGAACAGGAAACGAAATCACTACTCTCTTAAGGGGAACTTGCATCATGGTGTCTGCAACAAATAATAGAAGTTGCATTTGGAACATATGAAAACTAAATTTAGTCTTCACTCCTTTAAAACGTGCCTACTTCACATGCATCTCCAGAAAACGGGCATCAAGAACTGGATCTGGTTTACACCTCCTCTACATTTCCTACCAGACCAGACGAGAAAAAAGTCTGGAGTGCTCACACTTCTCTTTGGCCATACTACCTGCTAGATACCCTAGCTAATGAATTGGACATAGGCAGGTAAACTAAACACATGAAGGAAAGCAAGACAGAATGAGAACAATCAGCATAACACTGTTAAAGCCTTTTGGTGACAAATCCATAGAAAAGCCTACTTAAAAACACTTTTTACCCTACCAGTAATGTTGGCTGTAAATTTCACTAAGACCATTTTAAACACATTTTAAAAATAACTCATTAACAGTTTCTATTAATATTCTAATGAGTCTGCCCATTGAAAGTGTTAACGACTTGAACTAAAGAAATCACCAATGCTATTAATTCAGAAAAGCCAGAGAATAAACCTCTAAGGAGAGAATACCTTGTGACTAGGTAACAAAGTACATGAAGTGAGACTTCTGACAAATTCCAAGTTCCTAAAAATTACATTTATAAAGAAAAATATTTCCTTCTTCTCCTAAAGCCAGAATTATCTTAAAAGTTACAAACTGATCAAGAAGGGTTTTTCTAAACTTTTGTTCAACTTCCATGGCAGCCACAGAAACAGCTGAACATGGACCAAAGTTTTTTTAAGCAGTAACTTAGAAACCTATTACCATATTTCAATAGGAAATATTGCTGTGGATATTTGAATTTTTAACCAACAAATTTTTTCTGATTCATTGACCTTTATCAGAAATTATGCAATTCAAACGAGCCCTTCTTTTAAGAAAGCAGTAACAACCCTTCCTCTAGCTTTTCAAATGGTTTCATAATTTTAAAGGAAACCAGTATTCAAGTTAAAATATTTAAACATTCACTTTAATAAGCTATGTAGAAGTTTACTCTTGCATAAAGAAAGCACATCTGTTTTAGTCACCTGGCTAAATTAGCATTACCTTTGCTGCAAATTCTTTAAACTTTTAGCTTTTTACAAAAATTTTTAATTTGACGAGCCAAAATAAAACCACCACAGTCTAAGAGAGAGGGACATAAACCATTTGAAATATTTAGCGCCACTGAATAAATTACCCAAATGTGCACTCTTCGAGAAGAGTTTTCTTTTCACAATGGCAGGCCCAAAATAAATTAACAGAAATCAACAGAGTTTAAAGAATTAATAACACAAGCACGGAAAGTTTCCCACATAAGAGGAATAAAGACATTCAGGTGCACATAAGATGCTCATCCTAGAAAAGATACATAAAAATGCATGTGCAGCAGGTTCTACAACTCTCTCTCATTCAAACAAAGACAATATCTAAAAGGTCTTTTATTTTAAATATTCCATTATACTTAGAAATAGAGTTTAGTCTGTGGAAGTTGCTGCTACACAAACAAAGTAAGAGAGCTCAGCAAAATTTCCAGTGGAAAAACAGGATATTCACTTGGGATAGTCTTAAAAGCTTTAGGAGAAGTAATTAACAAACACAGGTGCTGGCAATGATGTAAAGATAAATCCTTCAGGGCAGAAGATAACCTCTAGCTAATGGGAAACTGAGGTTAGTTGGGGTTTGGCTTTGTGTTTTGGTTGTTGTTTTTTTTCTTGTAAGCAAGTTATTTCACAAAGAGCTCTTATAACACTTCTTATACTTTCCTAACTGAAACAGTCATGATTAAAGACAGAATATTGGAGTAGACAGCACAATACTTTAATTCATATTATGACATACTTTAAATTTTCAGTCTTTAAAGAGAGTTTGATTCTTCTCATAGTGCAAGAAGTTACCAGAAGACAGACTATTCAGAACAGTAAGCTTTTAGCCAACAGACAATCACCAAAAAAAAAAAAAAATCCACCACGCACAGTCGGACATCGAGGGAGAATCTTTAAATACTCAAATTATCATACACCACTTTTGCAGGAAAGCAAAGCCACACACCCCATTTAAGTTACATGGTAACTCAAAAACACGAATAGCTACTTACCTACTACTAGCCCACACTCAGAACAAATCATATCACCAGCTCTGTAATCCTCCACTAAAATGGAATCCGGATGATTTGGGCAAGTCACCCGCGGAAGTACATCCAAACTAAGAAAAAAAAATGAGAAGTATTAATTGTTTTTAAACAAGCAGGCTGCATATCCAAAAGCGTAAGAGTTCCTTACTGACTAGAACACTTAAATAATACAGAATTTACAGCAATTTGACTATTAACCTGCATACCTAAGCTGCACCTTTTACTTAAATGCTGTAACACTGCATTTGACAATCAAGACTTCAGATCTTAAATTCCACATCTTTTTGCAACGTATCTTGCACCAAAACCACCTCAATATAAAACATTAAAAATCTAAATAAGAGACTTAAGAAAATATATACTACAGCCTAAGCTGTACATTCCATCTTAATTTTTTAGATATTTCTGATGAGTCAAAAACACAAAGAAACACTCCAAACGTTTTAATCCACTGACTGTTCAGAAAAATATCTGACTTGAAAACAAAATCAATATCACCATTAATATTAAAGCCTCCAGAAAGCAAATGTACACACAAGATTCTCAGATGTAAATTATGCTCAAAATTCTGCACTGGAACTCTTTAAACTACTTTCCTTCTCACTATACCCAGTCAGTAGTTTCATATGACAAAACTGTTAACAAAGCATTCACAATCATCTGACATTTGGCATTACACAAAAGGCTAGTGACACACTAAGCAAACCAGGAAAAAAAAAAACCAAAAACACAGAAGTCTCAGAGAATAGCATCAGAGTTTTGTTTCAGACTTTACCTTCACATAACATTGTAAAAATTAGTCTTCCTATGCCAATTTTAACTCGTATATCTAGAGAGATATACCGTACTCCTTGCAACATACGGGCTCGATATACTAAGCTGAAGGAAAATGCATGGCACGTGTGTAAAGGCCCATCTCAGCAAAGGAAGCACTTCCTAGATCCTAGGACAGGTTTAGCAAGAGTTACAGAGTCATTCCACAGTCTGCTTCATGAGCCTTCCTTCATTCCTGACTGGAAAGAAAAGCTCGACAGGTCTCCAGGGAAAAGAATTCCGAGCCCGAAACCCGTTTGGTCACTGGCTGGTGCCGGTACGGATTTAGGGTGGGAACCTGCAAGCAGTTTCCAGGCCCGATAGGGTGGAGCCGGGCCAGGGCGCTGCTGAGCGGGGTCCCGCCAGGGCTGCCCGGCCGGGGCACGGCGGGAGGCCCTCGGGGCCCGGCCCGGCCGGAGCCGCGCTGGGGTGCGGCACTGCGGGGCCGGCCCTACAGGGAACCGGCCGGGTCGCCGTTCGCACCGAGCTGCGATAATGAGGAGCCCCCCACTCCAGTCACGAATCGCCACGAAATCCTGCAAAGCGCTGGCGTCCCCTCGGAGCGCTGCCCGGCAATAGCCACACGAAGATGCAAAGGCGGCGAGCTCGGCCCCTCGGAGGCCGCTCCGCCGGGGGCCGCCCGGCCCGGCCCGCACGGACAGACGCGGCCGCCTCACCGGCCTTCCCGGCCTCCCGCCGCCCCAGGAGCCGGGGCGAACCCGGCACACGGGACACCGGAGAGGGCCCGGCTGCGCCGCGCCGAGCCGGAGGCACCGGGGCCGGGCGAGGGCGGCGATGGCCGCCGGTCCGTCCCAGGGCGGCAGCGGGGGCGGCGCGGCCATTTTCTCTCTGTGCCGCGGTCGGGAGCGATGGCGGAGCTGCTCCCACTCCTCCCTCGGCCCCCGCCCCCGTACCGGCTGGTGGACGCCATCTCGCCGGTGCCGCAGCGGTGCCGGAGACGGTTCGGGGGAACGTCCCGGTTATTAAATACCGGCAGCGGCGGGCGGGGCCGCCGGGCGCTCCTACGGGTCCCGCGAGGGGGCGGGCGGAAGGACAGAGGGCCCCGCCCTCGCCGGGGCCGGCCCAGCGGGTGTTGGGCGGCTGCGGGCCCCGGGTCAGGCCGGGGAGCCTGACCGCGGGCTGCGCCCCCCGAACCGAGGGCGGCTTCGAGACAAAATCTCGTTGTAATAAATCAGAGGATGCGGCGTGCCCTGGGGCCGTCATTTAAAGGGTCTGCCCTGGGTTGGAACCTTGCCCTGGGGCCAGGCCCACGAGGAGCGGCCCCGGGCTGCCCGCAGACCCCCTGCACAAAGCCCGCCGTGCTGCCCCCCGGGGCGTGACTCCGGGTCAGCTGTTCTGTGCGAACTCCAGCAGTTTAGTGAAATGCCGCAGAAAACAAGGGTAAGCAAAACTGCCCCAAGTTTGCATAGGGCGCACAATACGTTCTTGGCCTTGAAACTAAGCAGAGACAATTCCCAGAAAGGGGAAGAAAAGACAAGTTTAGTTCCCCCTTACTTGCATCTCCTGCTACAGCTGTTCCGCTTTGCCACTGCGCAGATTCCCTCACGAGAAGAACCTGGCCCTTCTTGCTGCAGGACTCGCGGGTGTCGGGCAGCCCGGCTGTGACTCACGGAAGCCCTCGGCAAACAGGCCATGCACAGACTCGGCCTGACTCGAGCAGACACACACACCTGCTGGCTTGTCTGGGCTCCCTGTGTTACCCTGCACATTCCTGCAGGATGTGATCAGCTCCCCTTCTGTCCCTCCCCCTTGCACCCACCCTGGCAGCAAATATCAGGCCAAAGAGAAGGAGAAACCACAAGAACTGTTGCAAAACCAAAGCCCTCCAGCACTGGACTCCAGTTGAGGCTTTAATTCCCCAAGAGATAATCCTTATGCAAAATTAGTCTGTATGATAAGCAGCAACAACAGGTTTTCAAACCCAAGCTATAAAACAGTGGAAAAAATTTATTCCTTCGGTATGAGCTATTCTCACTGAAAGAGGGATGGATAGGACAGGACTGTCTACAGATTTTGGAAAGTGCCGTTACTTCAATGCTTTAAAGCACACATGACTATTATGGGAAATAAAATAGTAACTATGCAACTTAGCGCTTTTCATCTTATTTAAACTGATGCAATTTGTGCACAGACAAGGTAGGTAGGCAGGTATGTGGAAAGTCACTGCAATTATCTAACATGAGGCATGTCTTAATCTTCCTCTACTGCAGGTTATTTGGTTTCACAAACCATGATGTTTCTAAGTCTCTCTTTTTAGTTCCTATACTATTTCATAAAAAAAAACACCTCCTACTTTTTTCTTGTAAGCTTTAAAATACCTATATCATCTATTTATTTTACACAGAGTCCTACCAATTTTTTCTTTCGATAAAAGAAGTGAACCCCATAGATTTATTTTTTTTTTAGGAAAAAAGTAAATTATTTTGAAAAGACTGAAAATAACCTCTGAGTTGCATTACACACATTTTAGGTAAATCATTGTTTTAATTCCTCAGCAGGTGGCAGCAAAAAGTTATTTCCAATGTCATATTAATTCTGTACTGTATTAAGTAATTTGTTCTTAAATTTCCAATAAAACTCCCCTACTAGATAATTATACCATATGGAAGAGTTAATAAGAAAAATCAGCCTGTCTGCTTATTCCAGTTCTTCAGAATCACTTCAGCTGCATCTAGTGTGCTGTCTTTCTGCAAAACAAGGAACAGTGGCACTATTACTGCAAGTGTGGAGTTCTTGAAGAGAGAGGCAGTCATGATTATATCATCCCAAATCAGTCTTCGGCAGTTTCACTCACATCCTGTAAATATCGTGTCAGCCAGTTTTTTCCTAACAGTTATTAGCTACAAATCTGGACTGCACAAAGAATTCAGTGCTGATTCCTTGAAAATATTTATTATATATATTTAAAAGATAACACATTTTCTCAGCATTTATACTATCACATTTAATGAAAGCAATACTTATATAAATGCTTGGCATTAATGCAGTGATGTAACTTGGCAGCTCTGTTTTGGAGACATGCTAGCTTGTCTCTCTATACCTTCCTAATCCCTATGTGTGCAGTTGGGATTTTTTAATCTCCATGCAACCATGTTATGCTGTGAACCACTTAAAAATAATCCCCCCAAATATGGGTAATCTATCCATTAGCCATTTGTGTGGCTTGGCTACAACCTGGTGAGTCATACAGGTTGTCCAACTTGATTAGTCCAAAATGATTAGTGCTGCTCATTGCAGACAAGCCACATTTACAAGCAGCAAGTTTCATCCTGGTTGTTAGTGGCTGAGTTTATACCAAAGACTTTACACCTCATCAAAAGAACTAAGCAACACAAGGGGAAACTCCCCTTCATTTCTAGTTCAGGCTAAAGCTCTGATCTTTACACAGAACAGTTAAGGATTTGCACATGTTCCATTATGCTGACTCTGCTACAGAACAACTGGGAAACATCTCAGGGCTTTGGACTTATCAAAGCTTACCTACCTGTCCCCAAAGTCTTTCAGTCTTTTCAAGAACAGACTCAACAGGGCAAAGAAAATATATAAAGGAGGTGTTCACAAAATGGCAAAAATTAGCTAATTCACAAAAAAACATGTTTTCTTTTGTAATTTGGAGCTTGTGTGAAACCCTGAGTATTTTCAAGCAAGTGAGCTCAACTTGAAGGTGACTTCTTTACTGTTTTTCTGTTGGACACTGCATGGGCATGAGGCATACCACTCTGCTGTACAGTTAGTCTCTGCTCTGGATTATAGAAATCACGTCGATAGTTTACCCATCTCATTAATTTTCACTGTCACCACTGGTCAAGAATGTTTTTAAAAATCAATATAGTAAGATACAAAATGGTTACCCATCCAGTTGCTTTCTGCCAGTTCCCCTTCTTAGCCATGCCACCCACATTCATGGTGTAACGTCCCACAGCAAAAAGACAGTTGAAGCTACTTTGTGCTGAATTTTACATCAAGCTAACTTTCTGTTCCTAAAAACATTCAACTCAAGAGATCCTGGGAAAAACGTTACAGTCAGTCTTTTGCAGATTTCTGCACTGCATTGATTTTCAGGACATAAATTTACCTTAATGAAGCAAAAACGTATATATTTTTCAAACTGTTTCTTTGTTTCAGGACCACAGAATGCTGAAAGAGGAATTGCTGACAACTTCTGAAACATAAAACAGAAATAGCATTTGCTTATTTATATGTGTTAAAAATCTGTTTTAAGCATGATGATTTTACTATTCCATTTCTAGAACTCTCCCTCACAACATGTGATGGAAAGATAAGGTTTGGTTTTGTATGCACAAGCTAGGCTTTTCTAAACTCAAATTACTTTTCTTAGGCAAAACATTTCAAAGGTACTTCTATTCAACAAACATTTAAACATGCCGAAAGAAAAGTGCTGAGGTGTAACACAGACCTACAGGGTACATTTTCAGCATATTTAGCAATATTTTAGTCACATAATTAACAGCAACACCAAATAATATTTTGAATGGAACATCTCTACTACACTATTTAATAACTAAGTTGCACTGCTCTTGCTTTCAATAGAAAAGCAATTCTAAAACCAGAGTATGACTCTTACCTTAGATGCTATCATCCATCTGACAAATTTATAATCATAAGGTTGTTTCTCATCTACACCAGAGAGATCCACATCTAAAAAAATAAATTTGAAACAAATATGTTGTAAGATTTCCTAGACTCCACTGGGAAAGCATTCATTAACAGCACTTTATTATAGTTAATATTTAAGAATAAAGATATATGCTTTCATTTTCGTATATAATTTCTAAATTATAACCATTAAAATGGGCCAACAGATTGAACCTTTCCATTCTGACCTGAGCACTTGCTTTCCATCCAAAGCAAATTCAGACATGTAGCTTGGAAGAAAGCCATGCAGTATGCCAAGAAGTCTTGAAGCCTGGGTTATTGAGGAATCAGGGCTGTGAAGGGTACTGAAGGGGGCATTTATTGCAGGGACTGCAATAATCCCTGCAACTGCAGTTTTCTCATCTCTGAAACTGGAGTACCTAAAACTTTCTGTCACATGGTAAAGCTGTGAGGTCCAGCTGTGTTTAAACATTTCTCACTGAATAAAAAGTGCCATTAAGATCAGCTGGGAAAAATGCGGAACTAGAAGATGTTCCCCTGTGGGAATTCTTCCTCCAAAGTTGCCATAACCTGAATTTCCAAAAAGTTTTGTAAATTTTGGTAGCCTTTTACACTTCAGAAATCAGAATGCCTCAAAGAGCCTTCAGGGTATGACTTCGGATTAAGAAAAACAAAGAAACCAACAAAAAAAGACCAGAAAGAAAAAAGTACAAATGGTATGAACTGAAGGTGCAAGGCTCTCAAACATTCTCACAATCATATACCTTTTGAAAATAGAAATGTTTATCCACCTCCTTTATCCTCTCTAAAAACTTGACAAAGTTTTGCAAAACACCAACAGTAGTTAGGATCATAAAGGCTTTGCTGAAGCTCATAAAGTCTACCTTACACACTGAGGTCAAACAGAAAATTTCAGTCCCAGCGAGTACTTCTGACAACGTTATGCAAACATGAAATGAGAATACAGTTTAAAATGAAAGTTGCATTTTCAGATTAACTATAGTTACTTTCCACACCCATTTTAATGAACTTTATACTAACTTAATGTGGAAACATCAACAATCATAAAGTATCCTCCATCTGGAATGACAGGCTTTAGTCCAGCTTCTTTAAGTAGTCGAGCCATCCGATCACGCTTGCTTTCCAGCTCTCGAGACAGTGAGTAAAAATAGCAGTCTGGGTCATCCATGCGCTTATAGTCTATCCAAAATGCTTGTGCCAAAGCCTCCTGGAAACATAATCAATGTTCAAAGTACTCATGAACAGTCAGTAAACTCACAGACACTCACACACTTCCTACTGAAATCACATGGATTTTTATTCAATCCTGGCCCTCATTAAGCAAATCAGCACACAAATTACACAAGCTACATCCAAGTCTGTAATTTGCTTGTTACTTTGTGCTGTGGCAACACCCAAAGCACCCAATCTTTTGCTAGGCACTAATTGTGTATGGAAGTCACAGTCTTTGACACAAGGGTTTACAATCTGAATTGAAGCTAAATTTAAATTATTGATAATAATGCATCATAAAGTACTAGAAACTAGTAGACAGAGGTAATGCTCAGTAAAACAAGACCTTGTTGTAACAACTTTTATTTGTATTTGCTAGGAAATTGCTAAGATTGTCAGTTTTATGCAAGTGAAAAAAGAAAGAATCTGCAAGACTGATTTTTTTTTAATGTCTGGTGAGCAGATCAAATTTATTTCCTCTTCTTACATTCCATTTAACATTTCAAAAACTAAAGATTCGTTGTTGTGATTACTGTTTTATTACAGTGAGGCCAACAGCTTTCCTACACCAGAAAACAACCTCCTCTGCCCCATCAATACATACCTGTAATGGAGTTGGGCAAGTATACAGTGTATTTTGGTGAACAACTTGCAAATGCCTTATCAGGTTTTCAGGGCCAATGGACCATCCAAGCTAAGGGAGGAAAGCAAGCATAATAAAATTAAAAAATAATGAAAATTAGCCAATGTCTCAAGTTTTTCATTTTAGGCAACATATTTTACAGAAATATGAGCCATTTCAAAACATACCATATCACCACAAAACCGGGAAACTAAAATATCATAATATCCAAGAAGCTTGACTGGTTTTGAACAAATCATAATGTAGTGGGTTTTTAGTATTTGTTTCCTCACGGGCGCACATCAATCCAGAGACAAGAAGATAATTACAACATGGGTGTTAAAGACAGGTAATTGCTCCAGCTGAATGATATTGTCCTGTTTTGGAGACATGGAGATTTGCCAGAAGCTTCCAAAACACAAGTCATAAAAACAGAGGCTTTTTTAGTGTAATAAATGCATTCTGTTATTTATATAACTGAAGTCTTTTATATTGAGCCTTCTTACCTTCCAGCCAGTTACACTGTAAGTTTTCCCAGCACTTCCTATAGTTACTGTTCTTTCCCACATCCCTGGCAAGGTAGCTGTATATAAAACAAAATTAATTTGGTACAGGTGAACTCACCCATGCCATGTAATCCAAAGAATTACTGTAGTACTGCCCTAGCTCAGAGCTGTGTGTTCATATATCATTGCACCATCTTAAGCAAGCAACGAGAATATTCTAAAATTTCAGCAATTGTAACAAATGAGAAAGGATATATGGGCCAATGCTTTTTAGCATGAAAAGGAGGTAAGGATTAATGGAAGGTGATAAAAGAGGCAGAAAATAAGAGGCACAGTTTTAAAACTACATGATAGTTCTCCTCAGCAAAAATGCATAATTATTCATAAGAAAGATATGATCTAAGAAGTGGCTACCCATTCACCTGAGGACAGCATTATTTCTGATGCCTGACAACAGCACTATGCACAACATTAACTCGGGCACTGCAACCCACTTTAATAGAATTGTCCAGGTCAATGTCACTGGCTGTCTTAGACATCAGAAAAAGAAAATAATTACTAAGACTTCTAACCCAGAACCAAACTAGCAGAGTGAGTAAATAAACTATGCTGTGTTATATAATTTGAACAGGCTTGGAACTGACTGACAGTAGCAGTTAGCTAAAGATGTCTGCAAGGATTAAGGGAGGCATGGAGGCCTGTCTCTGTTTCTGCAGTTGTATCTGATAGGAGACTAAAATCCTTTGTTTCCTTTCCAAGGAGATGACAGAGTAAAGGTCTCTTCCTGTAGTTTGCAATTTTTTTTCTGTATATTGCTTCTGGAAGGGCTATTTGGACTCTTTAACTTAAGTAATTTTCAACAGAAACAGATAAATCAAGACACACTTAAGTCTGAGACACAAAGTTAGACTTTGTGTTAGACAAGGTTGCAATTGCAGTGGTCACCAACATCCATCTTCACCTCATCTGTATACTAGAACCGCTACCAGTGAACCTGTCAGTTGTTAAATCCCCTCTCTAGGGAGACCAACAAACAAAGATTTTCCAAATTAAACCACAATATTTCACACTGAAGTTTTTGCAGCAGTTATCTGCATTAGACATGGTATAAGTCTTTACAGTTATTTGAAAACATGTATTGTAATTTTTTGAGCAAACTTGCCAAGAGAAACCAAACAGCATGGAAAAAATTGATATTCCTATTAGTCCACCCATATTGACTTTACTGCTCTGTGACCCTGAGAACAAAAAGGCAATATGAACAGATGCATCTTCTAGCTAGCTCGACCAAGAGTACAGATCACTTCCTAAAGGCACCCAAACTAGCTCTCACAGGCTGCAAAAATAATTGGCTTTCAAAACTAATGGCCTCTAGCAACACTGTTTTGCCACACAGTCCTAGGTATTCAGCCTTGGAGACAGAATGTAACAGCATTTCAAACAACAGCAGCAGCACAAGGGCACAGGGAAAGAAGCTTTTACAAGTTTTAAATAGAGAGGGAAATTCTCTATGCCATATGGTAACTATATGGGACATCATATACACTACAACCAAGTCTGACTAAATTTAAAATCTAATGAAGTGCAAACTAACACATATAAGAAGCCTGTTACCTGGGATGGCACTCAGCTTGTTCAGAGGCTTGTTCAGAATCCTCAGTTATGAGATGCAATCTCTAAATCTGCCAGTTCAACCCTAATCATTATTCAGAGTCAGATGATGAGAAACATGATGAAGTGCTCTATGCTACAGAAAACTGCTTCAGTGACAGCACAAAGACTGTATTAATTTTATGATCTGTGGCTAGCAACCCCTGTTAAATTGTATTAAGGAACCACCATTAGAACATGTAAATTGATGCAATATCCATTTTGTATCTCCCACAAAAAAAGTGTCACTGCATTCAATGGAATATGTAAAGGTTAATATGGAAACACAGGAGTTTATAAATAGTGAAATAACACACTTATTTTTATTGTATTATTTTTTGTAGACTTAAATAAGAAATCTAATCAACTTAGGTTAAAAAAGAGCAGACCTTATTTCTTTTACTGAAATAATGTTATTGTTTACAGTGTTACCCTGAAAGTTTTATACTACTTTTAACACTAAAGTTGAAGATGATATCATGGGATCTGTTAGAAAATATGCACCTAAACCTAGTTGGCCAACTTCCCAGGCTTTAACTTGCATTTTCATTAGACAGTACTTTTATATTTTATGCTGATCTACAGAATATCCTTTGTTCAACTGGAACATGTTTTGGTTTGAAGCATTAGATGACAATACTGATGCCAACAACAGTGGAGTTACTGCCTCTTAAGAATCCGTCACCTGTCCACTAAGACAAAGTGTGACTGACAACATGAGTGTTTGGACCTGCTGCTTTTGCAAAGCAAAATGGATTACCTTACACCACCCACAGAGATTTTGGTTCTGAGGACAGCTATTTGCACTAAATACCTGCTAAACTCATGAAGAAAGCTTTAACTGATTTTACTTTGCAATTGGGACATATGATCAGTTACTGTGCTAACTTGGCTAGGATGCAGTGACTCAAATTACTATCACATGAATGTACCCAAAATGTTCCCCTTTTTCCATATCTTAAGGTTTTTGAGAAGGTATCACTATTAAGGCAACCACAACAGCCATGGAATTAGGTCACTCTCAAAACAGACTCATAGCCTATGCATGACCAGTACAATCAATGTACTGTCAGCAACTGTGAGGCTGAGCTAATAAGTATTGCAAGGTCATTTAGATACAATTTCCTTTTTATTATTTACAAGATTCTGGTTTTACAATGATTTAGCCCCCATTAATTGAAAGTTTTTTTATTGCCACTCCGCAAATATGGAATTGAAGCACAGAAGCAAAGTTATTTAGCATTCAACCAGTGGCAAAGCCAGGAAAAAAGTTAAGCTTTTTCTTGTCTAATTTATATTTATATGTCTTGATTTCATTGTTTATTCTCAACTAGATGCCTCTACTGCACACGACTGAAATGTGCCTTCATAACGACAGTAACTACATCTTAACAGACAGTTCATGCAAGATGCTACCATGAGAAACAAATTTTGGACTTTAGCCAGCTCAAATACATCAGGAGAGCCAAACTAAGACCACCACACTAGAAACTCTTACATAAATGCTTAGCTGTAGCATTATGGAACTGGGGAAGGAGTTCAGTACCCTGCACTAAATTAAATTTTCTGAGACAGTGGGAGTAATTCCACTAGCTTCAGTAAAACTGAGATCAAGAAATAAAACAAGAGGGACAGGGACATTACATCATGTTTGTTTTTCTGGCTTATTCTTGCAATAGTGCTTCACCCCTGTAGCAACTCTGCCTGAAAACTTTAACGTGCTTTCACATTGCACTTGCAGTGACTTAGTTCACTGAATCCAGTGTCCATTATTTGGACTGAATACAATGTCCGATGTCTCTGCACTTTGGAGGGACACTGCTCATGCACTATCTCCACACTGACCTTTATACTGCTTTTTAATTTTTATAACTAGTGGAGTAAAACTGATTGTATTCCTCATTATCCATTTCCCTCATTGATTATCTCTGCAATACTTTGAGAAGGAAGTTCTAATCCCTGTTCCTTCTATTAGTCCTTTAGCAAAGCACAGTCCAATACACATACTGTAACAGAAGCTATATCTGTCATGGCCCACAAAGTAACCAAATAAGGATGGGATATTCATATGATCATAAATGACTTATGAGCATCAATCCCACTGGTTTCTATGCATGTCTGCTCCAAAGGCAGTTGAAAATTCTATTTGGAAATTATTCTTTAAAACACTTTTCAGAAAAGGGAGGGGCTCTCCTCCTTAGACTCTAAACATTGCTAAATAGTCAAAGCTTGAAGTTTGAGCTCCTTCCAGCAAGCATTATCTCTGAGAGTCAAGCTTACAGCATCATTTCACAACCAATTCTAAGATACCACAAAAAATCAGTACCTATTTTAATGTGTTTATTCCCTTTATACACCAGCCATTCATACACCTCATCGCTGATGCACAGGGTATCATGTTTAATACACAGATCAGCTATTACTTGAAGTTCTTCCTGGGTAAACACCTGGGATACAAAAAAGTAGGGGACAATGCATTAATTATAGTATTTAAGGCATTCTTTGAAATGACAGTAGTGTCAAAGCAGGACTCTTACCTTGCCTATAGGGTTGTGTGGGGTATTCAGAATAATTGCTTTTGTTTTGGAATTAAATTTATTTGCAAGTTCAGCAGGATCCAAGACCCAATCAGCACTAGATGCAGAGTTTCCATTATTTTTCTAAAAAAACAAAACAAACAATAAATGTATGCATTACTTGAATACAACAGCCTAAAGAGAGATGCCTAACTTACCACCCTCAGACACTTCCATAACAATACTTGACAACCTAACCACTCTGTTCTGCTCTCCTGGGAGAAGGCAGTTCTAGGAACAGGCAGGGAGGCCTAATAGCAAGGCAAATTATTGTGACAGTGGCTGTCTTCTTGGCCACAGACAGTGGCCAATGTCTGTCTTAAAGCCTCTGCAGGAACTGGTTTCCAGGATGTTGTTGTACACCTGAGGATCATTACAGCGTGTGCTGCAGAAAGCCCCGTCACATGGCAGGAGTGTTTACAGCCTTGCCAAATACTAGAGCAAGTGTGTGCGTGCCTGACTGGGAACATCACCACAGAAGGGATTCAAGATCTCTTCCTCCTCCTTGAACATATGAAAATAGACAAAGAATTAAAAATCTGCACCACTGAGGCTCTGGATTCATACGCTACACAATACAAGTGTCCCTGTGGTATTACACAAGGGTAACAGAAGTTTGGGCCAGTTGCTATGGAGAACATAGAGCATGGCCACACTAACTTTCTGACACCTACACATGACTGGGAGAGAGTCAGACCAAAAACAAGGGTGTGAAACAGAAAATACTTGGAGGAACGCTGTCATTCAAAACATCCCTAGAAGGAGGGCATCCAGAGGAACAGTCTCACCTACTCCCACTGCAGCTGTGGAGGTTCTGTCCCTCTGTGTTGTTCTGATTTCAGTGAGTTCATTCAGCAGTCCTACCTAAAGAGCCCTTCCCATGCAAAGCTACCAGTTGCACAAGGCAATGGTAACAGGATCAACACTGCATCCAGAACAATCCTTGCAAGCTGCCAACAGAATGCCAGCAGTACCAATTTGACAATTAACCCATAGCAAAATTAGTCCTTTTTAACAATAAACAAAACAATAATCCTTGAATATATAGCAAATATGTGTACTGCACGATCAGTCCTTATTTAGGAATTTAGGAAAAGTAACTGTATTCTGTCATTGTAGGAGTCGCTGAAGGGATCAGAAATCAAATCATCTGAAAACCAACAGATACTGAAATGGCACTGATATGTGATCCCCTTCCATTATTTGCACTGAAAACTGAAAAAAGCAATTTTAATCAGCTTTCAGAATGCCCAAATTAAAGCAAATGAGAAACACTGTTGCACCTTCTCCAACACTAATAAAATATTCTATCTGCTTTGGACTATCATTGTCTCAGACTTACACTCATCCATCTCATTTTTATGTAATTGGATGTTACAAAAAACTATACAGAAAAGCATCTCATAGAAGGGGTTCATCAAACTGTATTGAGTACAGATGAGAAACTTCATATGATAAATAATTTTTAAAAAGCTACTCACACATCTCAGTGAGATAAAAACAGGCTTTGCACCCGCCATCCTTACCATTGGCTCATAACAGTCATAAAATGGCTCTATTATTATTACCTGAAATGACAACAATCAGTATTAGAAACAGAGAATTTACCATGCATGATGCCATCATATTTGCAGATTTACTTTGGTGGTATAACTTGTTAATGTTTCTGGTGCTCCAGATATAATGATACAACACTGCAGAACATTCCTCCTTTTAGAGCATCACACGACAATGCCACCAGGCTGAGTATGGTAAGCACTACTCATTTTTGACAACACACACAGGCTGTTCATCTATAGTTACACACTGCAACCATTAAGTTACAATATTACAATTTATGTCCTATACATAGATTTGAAGGTGCAAGGCAAAGATGCAGAAATGGTAGATAATGACAGCAAACTGTTGAACCACAGCACAGCTGCCCTAATTCTGTCCATAAAATGCCAAGATTTCCAAGTATCTAGAAATCTCAGAAGAACAGCTTAAGTCCTCAGATTTTATCCTCAGCAACAGAAGAGGAAGATACAGATGAGAATGCAATATATAGAAGCAAAACAAACAAAACACTGAAAGCAAAATGCATGACAACACAAAAAGGTTTTGTCCGCTACGTACAGAAATATTTCAGTAAAATGACTTCTAGTATCGTTGTCAAAAAGGCAGACATCAGTAATGATGAAGGGATGACTCATCACAGCTAGTACAGTAAACTAACAATCCTTTCTCTGAAGGACTTTTCTGCTACCTATGCTGCCACCATGCCATGGTCCAAAACAGAATATGGTACCTAAAGGTCATTCAAACATCAACACTTCTTTGCACCACCCTTAGTCCTCTGTTGCAGACAACAGCCCAGTTGCTTTCTCAAGTAAGAAATCAGTGTGTACTGTGTCACCTAACAGTAACAGTGATAAAGAAACTGCTACAGGTACCATAAGTATGAAAGAAAGGTGTTTGTATGTTGGTGAATGATAGGTAGACATCCAAAAGATATGCTCTTAATCACAGCTTCTGAAACCATAAGTCAGGTGCACAACTGCAACAAATCAAACTAATGGAGACAGAAAGAAGCCCCAACATTAACTTATATTTAAAAGTGGACAAATAAGAAAACAGGAAAATTCTCATTTCTGCAAGTATATGTGAATACTTCCAGTAAAAACTTACTTCATCTCCCTCTTCTATTAATGCCTGTATTGTACTAAACAGAGATCCATAAGCTCCCACCGTCACCAGGATATCTGTGAGAGGATCAATCTTTCTTCCACAAACTCTCTCGTACACTTGAGACAAGGCTTTCACCAGCGATGGATGTCCCTGTTCAAAGCAAACAAATGTAACTGATTGCTGTGTTCCAACAATGTACAAAGCCTGTCTTTGGGGGTTTTCCACATATATCAAAATAGTACATTTTGAAATAGAAAAATATGACATAAGCCCTCAGTGTTAATGGCTGTTAGCAGGTAGCATGTTTTAAGCTTTTTGCACATTAGGAAAGAGTGCTTTCAATTTATTTGCATCTACTAGGAAATTCTTTTTCTATCTGGTGGTTTTTAATTTCTGCCGTATTATCACACCTCAGAGTAGCACCAGGTAGCCCATACCAGAGCTAGGACAAGAGATAGGAGGAGAGAAGGGAATACTCTGACACCAATTCACCCTCACCCTCCTTTTGAGTCTCTTTCAGCTCCCTCTGTTTTCTTCCTTATCTTTCAACTAAAAAGTATTTGGTGCAAGGGAAATATTTTTATTCTGTTTATATACTGCTAATAAACAGCACTTGTAGTCAGAATAATGATTCATATAGTCACATCCCAAATCTCAGAGCACTATTCACCATTTGTGTCCCCTCCAGGGACACAGCAGTTAACACACTCTTCTCAAAATGTGCAAAGAACAAGAAAATAAACATGCAACAAAGATCATATACAACATGGAAATAAGAAGACACAATGTTGTTTGCTCAGAAAAACTGCAGAATTCCTGCTGTAAAAATCTTTTTTCTTTTGGGATACTTGATAGAAATAGAGAACAGCTCCTTGGGAAAACACAACTACGTAACAAAAATCCTCTAAAATACTGAACATTATACCTCTATAGACAAGGCATTAAATCATGAACCTTTCTGTAAACAAAAACATTACCATAAATTAAGCTTATAAGTCATTGCTGATTCAAGTGACAGCCATTTCTTGCTGTGTCATGGCAAGACAGGAATGCTACAGCATTCAAATCACAATAGGCCACAGCCCTACAGTCAATGAGAGCTCAATTATCAGATGGATAGAGATCATTCATTCTCATCCCTCCCACCTCTGCTACCACAAACACTTGTGCTCAAAAACCTTAGAAGTGTAGAAGTTTGCAGACAAAGTACAACGGCTGAAGATGGGAATATTGGTAAAAATTCCTCTTTAAGTACTATTACAGTATAATATATTTTCCAACATTCATAATTATCATGGGAATTATCAAACCATTTGGATATAAAGAACAAAGTGATAAAAGTAAATACTGAAGAATTGCATGCGTTAGGAAATTATATTTATGCTTGATTCGCAAACAGTTTTAGAGAATCAGTCTGTGAATCTTCCTCAGAAGGTAGACTTGGCCTGGTTTCAGCTGGGATAGAGTTAATTCTCTTCTTATGAGCTGGTAAAGTGATCACTGGGTTATGTCTATCCATGGTGAGCATTGCTGGGCCTGAACTGTGGATTGAATTCCTGGCTTGCTCTCAGGTCCACCTCACCACCACAAGCTTGTCCGGTGACCTCAGCCACCATCTCTGGGCCTGCCTTGCTCAGGTACTGTGGGACTGGGCCCTGGCTGGTGAGACCTCTGCCCTGCTCACTGTGATAGCTTGTCCTTCAGGGAACTGCTGGCCACTGCTGCTCCCCATCAACTTCTTAGAGAATAGTCAAAAAGTTATCTTGGAATATGTACACAGTGATGCCATGACTACCAACACAATTTCTGGCTTTCAGTCTGTAAGATGCTTTTATATCCCTGTTGTATAACATGGTCATCTAGAAAAATATTAAATAGATGCCTTAGGGTCTTGTAGCAATCCTGACACACAATTCTCAATTGGGCAATATAGTCTATCTTTACCACGAAATAAAAGATAGGCAAACCAAACAATGAAGTGGTCATAGTAAAACAGTAATAGTCACTGGAATATCCTGCCTTGGACAATCATAAATGCCATACACTCACACCCAGCTCAAGACATAAACTCTACAAGCCAACTTCCAGAATGTGTAGTGACTATCTTCCAGGGGGCAAAAACTTACTCTTTTCATCCCTTCCTAGTCTCCAGTGAAATCTACTAAATGCTATGGGTCAATCTTTTCTTCATTGTAGAGTCTGTCTCAAGTGCTACTCTCTCATTCTACCATTATACTGTCTGATTTATGTTTACACAGAGGTAAATGTAAAATGTATCATCTGCACTCTTTAAACTGTGAATTCACTCTTCAGAGACAGTCTATCCCAGATGTGCTCCACCATTTTGCTCTAGCTGAGGGATTTGCCCTTGAAGAAGCCTACACAGAGGAAGTTCATTAATAACAGATAAGGCTACTGGATCAACTTAGTTTGGAACATAACAGTACAATCTACAGATAAAAACCAATTTAAAGCAAAGTCAATTTTTTTCCCCTGTGGCACATTCTCCACTGAGCTTGGGTCCTTCAGTTCCACAATACTTACAAAGCCTCGTGTGTACTGGTTCAATCTGTCAACTGCTGCTGCCTTTGCCAGCTCCTCTTTCACATAGCTGGGAGGGGATATATCAGGAAGGCCTTGACCGAGATTAACGATAGAGGGATCTGCTGCCACTTTTGTAAATTCAACCCTAAAGCGAAAAACATCTTAAAGTTAACATAACAAATAAAATTATCTTTTCATTTTTTAAGATTAAAAGGTAAAAAAAAGTGTTTCACTTGGACAAATTCACAGCAGTGGAAACAGGTTTAAGTAGAGTGTTCACATGGAGAACCGAGGGCTGGGACAGTGGTAAGTAACCACAGGGGTCACAGGGCACCCAAGAAAACATTTGACTTTCTCCATCCACAGAATAACTTTTCTGCCAGCAGAACTGTGCTCAGATGTGCAAATGTACAAACACACAGTTACTCTGGATATAGGCAGAAATGGAACACCAGGCACATTAAATGATTTCAAGGCTAAATTCCGTCAAGTGAAGGTGCCATTTAAACTACTCAGACACCTCTGAGTGCTATTTTTTTTTTTTTAATTTTAGGCAACAGACTGCTTTAGACTGCTCATTAACTGTTCCTAGTAGCCTGCCAGATATGAATGTTAGGATTCTTGAACAGTTTTTCCTTTTTCCCTTCACAAGTCAGCTTTACATTTTACTCTTTCCTCCCTACCAAAATATTAACAAGACTTTAAAAAACCCCAAACTAAACTAAAACCCCTCCACGTAGCATAACAGTTCTGTCAAAAATGAAAACAAATTGCTAAAAAAATTAGCTGGAAGCTGAATGATCAAAATACCTTGTGTATATGTGCACACATACATATATACATATAACTAATCTAAGCCCATAATAGTGTTTTCATCACCTAAGAAAATTCCATATTTATTAGTGATGGCAATATTGTTTTAAGACCAATTTAATACCTAGAAACACAAGTATTAAAAAATAATGAACTAAATTATAAAGACAAGTATAATGGCTTTAAAAAGAAATCTGACTTATTTGGTAAACACGAATCAAGTGTAATGGAAATACATTACCCAACAGAATTAACAGTTAAATTTAAAAGTCAGCTAAACTACCATGCCCAAGAGTTATGTTTGTCTTATGTGGTTTACTGGATGAAGAGAAGTCTAAGCCTAATATTTAAAGCTCAAAAACAATTAATCACACCTTTAACTGAATTTCATTCACTGCTTCTAAACAGGTATCACATTTATTCCAGCAGAGATAGCAACTGCCATGTACCTTATTATCAATTTGGAAAGGAAATACATCCACCAAAGACATTTTCTGAAATTTGCAGATATTTTCCTTTTACTCACCACACATTGCTATCAAGGCCTTCAATTCGTCTTGTGTTTTTGTGTCTGAAGGCCATTGTCTGCAAGATCAAAATATACAGACAGAAGGGTTTTGTTAAGAAAGACAAAGTACGATATTGTTGGATTCTGCATGACAAACCCTCCTTCATGCTTTCTCAGTTACACCACTGCCAGCTGAACTCAGTAGTTACACAAAATTATAGACATGTTCTTTCATTAAAGCTTCCATAATAGCTTGAATTCAGATTAACACGAAAACACACAAAAATATCCTAAATTCTCATTCGTCATTATCTAAAGCCACTAAACTTTTAGCAAGGATGGAGGAGGGGCATAATTTAGCTCAAGAGCTTTAATAGATGTCCTAAAAAGAAAAAAATACTGTACATACTTTCTTTTTCTTTTCTATGATATGCTAAAACTTAAAGACTGTGCTATTTCTAGCCCAATTCCTGCTCAATCCAGTTTGGAAAGCAAGCACTTGCAATGTAATTTTATTTGTTAAATTGATGGGTAAGAGGAAAGTAGCAAAGACATTTGCTATTTTCATTCAGATTTTTAAAACTTTAAAGCATCTACTCAAACCACTAAAAACCCACAACAGAACATGTTTTTGCTGTATATTCAGACCTTAAATTAAGGTATTGGAAGACTCCTGTAGAATAGACTTTCAACGACTACTCTATATAGAGGCAGAGAAAAACCTACTGATAGTTGTGATATTTTTAAGATAAAAAGAGAAAGGAAATTTAGGAAAAAGAAAACCAGATTTATTTCTATGGGCAAACAAAAAAAGTGCAAGCTCGTATCTATTTTTGTAAACCAGCTTGATACCGGGAAAAAATTACATAGGAATCACATAGTCCCTCAGTACCCCAGACACTCCTGTTTCTTTGAGTCAAACAACTGAGCTTTAGCACCTTTTACCACTACCAGCTATTGTTATTGTCTGAAAGATTCAAAAACCATATTCTAGCCACCATACTCTGAGAAAAAAATGTCAGCATTACCATTACATTCCGAGTTTCAGCTTTGAATCAATGGAAATGACTCACAGTAGAAACATTATGCAGCAGGTACACTTTTGTACTCAAGCTGTTTATAGTAGTGAATACACCATATACATTGTGATTTGAAGAATGGGAAGCTATAAAATTAAACAGATACTTTTCTGCTCATGTCTTCTCTACAGATCTGATTCTGACCTCATCAATGTGACAAGAACACCAGAGGAATCCAACACAGGACACCTTTTATTTGTCCTCATGAAGAAAACTGTAAAGATAACTAGACAGGTGAAGTCATACTTCTTAACACAGAACAAAAGAGAGTTAAGAGAGAATTCTGACTAGGTAATCTGTACTGTATATATTTAAAGATGCACATATGGTTTAGAAGAGTAATCCAATTTTACAGTGTATGTTTTGTTAAATATGACATGTTTGGCTGTATTTCAAAAAGACAAATAACACTGGTACTACTGAGACTCAGCCACATACACATCTTTTTTTACATGCTGATTTACGTGACACAAAATTAGTGCATCTCTAAAATATTGCATGAAACAGTTTTCTCTACAAAGCTGAAGGAATACTTACTGCAGAGGCTGAATGTTTGATGGATCTGGAAAGCAAATCTGTTCGTAGCTGGCATGTTCTAGTGCCACGGCAACAGAAGCTTCGTGAAGCAAAAAACATCTCTGCATAATAAATAAGTGACCTGAAAAACCTTACAGATTCTAGGAATGAGCTTCTACACATCACTAAGCAATTTTAAAAGATAAGAGCCTCTCCTCTTCCCTCCAGTGATTTTGTTTCAATTAAGTAAACTCTAGTAAATTATTACCTTGCCACAGTTCTAACCATAGACGATGAAACTTTCTAACTGACAGGGCTGCAAAATGTTTCTGAATGTCATCTCAAAGGAAGGTTTCCTTTCTTTGTCAGCACTGATCTTCTTTTCTTTGAATAATAATTAAGACTAAATGAAATTCAAGCTTCAAAGTCTCCATTAGAATTGTTGTGAAAATGTGTCTGTGTAATAAAAATTTATATTACAGTTGCCAATACAGACAGAACAGAAAAAGAGCCTAATTTCTAAAAAAATTACACATCTTTAAAATTGGTCTCCATTTCCAAGTGTTTCAAATCAGGTATGCTGAAACCATTAAGATCACCAGTCACACTAGAGAGGCAGGCCTACACACTTTATGTAGCTATACCGAGTTCTGCCACAGTGACTTGGAAAACATCAAATATCTTCCACAGCAGAACACAGAGAGCTAGAAAAGGAGTTCTGTGTGGAGTAATAGATCGTTCACTGACTGGAGAAAATATGTCCTGTTAATCAACAACTATAAAGAAAGAAGTAAGAGCTGGTACTTCAAGCAACTACTTCCAGGATGTATTTTTAACACTATCATTTTTGATATTATCAAAATGACTGGAATACATTAGAGAGAAGCATGTAAGCCACAGATCTATGTGAGAAACACAGTAGCCACAGCAGTATAATTATTAACTTTGTTTTCCAAAGTTTACTCATTAAAGGATAACTCCTGCTCCACCCAGACTTTCCTACCTGAAAAGGGGAAGAGAACAAAAAAAAAGGGTTCTTTACACTTACAAACTAATAGAAAAGGTCAATCAACACTCCCTTTTAAGGATGTCTCATTGAATGACTTAAGCTTTAAAAGTATGCTGGTTTTGTCTTTGTCTTGTTCCAGGTGCTACTAACTCAGTCTCAATTCTGAAATTAGGGTCTTTCTCACACAGTACTGAGTTGTAGCTAACTCAACCAGACCTTCAAAAATACCTGTGTAATCCCATTGCATTTAGCAATCTGCAAGTAATCAATTGTAGTTCCTTTACAAGAAGAAACTCTGCTGGCCTGAGGACTAACAAAAGTAAACAGCAATTAAACCTTTGACACTAGTTTGCAGATACTCTGAAAGACACAAAAGAAATATATCTGTTTTAAAAAGACCTGTAAATCCATTTTAAGTTACTTCTAATATAACCACTTAGCATATTCACCGTAATCTTTGATAATAACTATGTGAAATCAAAAAGATTGTGAAGGTCTCTATTCCTCTCCTTGTGCAACCTTACAAAAACTACTTATGCAACATACTGATACCAACTTAAAATGTGACCATGATAATAGTGCTATTCCCCTTTGGTGAGACCAAAGGCAGCATTGCTCTTTCAGCTGCAAATGCTTGCAGTAGTTAGTTAGCACTGAGGGGCAAACGTATATCTCTGCCTGTTTCATTTTGTATTGAGAATAGAAAAATTAAATAAAAAACTTGCAAGCCTTACATGCAAAACTAACTTGAAATTGTTGTTAGAAAAATTATTAACAGCTGTAAATATTTCCAGCATTAGTGCCAGGCTGCACTGAAAGGCAGTGTGGTATTTGTGAACCATTATTCAACACAAGGCAGTCATGCAAAACCACAAGATTGCATGAGCCACAGCAGACCTGTATCACTGTGGTGTGGCCAATCTCTGCAAGTACCTAAAATACCTGAAGTGAAAAAATATATCCACCTTTAACACCACAAAATGCAGGAACTGTGAAAACTTTATGGGGAGCATAAAATGGAAACAATACTTTGCTGAGCAGCCTCAGTAAGAAAAGGCACTAGCAGGTAACATTTCTCCCACTGTGTTTCAATCTTTGTGACACTTTTCCAGTGAATGCTGAACAGCATTTGTTCAGACTCAAGAGCACTCAGAGACAACTACTGACTATCAAATGAAAAAGCCTCATCTAAAATACTTTTATGACTTTTTATTTCCAAAATACCTCTTCCCTCATCTGCAATTGAATATTTCCACTTAAGCTACTCTAGGGAGTAAAGGGAAAGGCCTCCTTAACATAACCAGATACTCTCCTACATTGATCTCAAAAAAAAAAAAAAAAATAAAAGAAAGAAAGAAAGGCCTACTCTTTTTTTGCCCAGGCTCATCCATTCCCTCTGTAATTGTCTGTGACATTAAAACCTATCACAGGCTCAAAAGAATTATTCACTGGTACTTTTAGGATGAGTGCACTCTTAAATACTACTGCTGTATGTGTTTCAGCAACAACCAAGTATGTGTAAAACACATTAATGAGATGGTTTATAATATCCTAAGCTAAGTTTTTCTCATCAAGATGCAACATTCCAGCTCAGGAAAGTTACACAGTGTCAGGCAGCTACAGAAGCAATGCAAACCCTGTCTCAACTCTCTTCAAAATTGGTAAAGTTCTTCCATCACAGAAAATGCACTGATCTTTGTGGGGGAATGAAAAGGTATTTTCCTTTCTTGATCCTATTAATGTTTCTTTTTTCAATCTTGGAGTCAGATACCAGCATTCTGGCCAAGACTCATATCTGTTAAACTAAGAAATTAACAGTAAGGAATACTTTTCCTCCCATTCTAATTTTCAGTGCTCTGAAGTATTCATGCTCTAACTCAGCATACCTGGAATTCAGGCTTACATACCCATAGAGAAAAGAGGAAAATTAACACATTAGGGTAGAAAGGATAACAAATTACTACTCCTGCAGCTTTCTGTATTTTTAGGGGAGTGAGAAGCAAGGAAAGCTATCAGAAACGTCAGTGCAGTAAATGTTTTTTAATGGGAATGGGAAGAAGACATATTCTGGTTGCTAATCTGGTTTAAACTCAGGTTTGGTGATTTGAACTAGACTGGAAGATACAGTTAGACTTTGTCATGGGAACTATATGAATGCATCTGTGTACTAACAATCATTTAGCTCATGCTGTGCTTTATAACTGCTCCAGCACAGATACAACCTCTGAGTTGTAGACTGTTATGCTCCCTTCACAGCTGCCAATCTCCTGGTCATACAGTACCCTGACCTCAGATGCTGCTGAACCACCAGGACATTTTATGGAAAGTTATAATTTTGTAATTATTTAATTTTGCTCCTTTGAAACTAAAGACCAAATGCATCTCAGCCAAAGGCTGTGAAGCCTTTGAAGGACTGTCTCTTCGTACTGTCTAGAGGATGAAAGCTTCAGAGATAAAAAGGTGCCACCTTGCCATGGGAGGCCTCTCCAGAACTTTTTTTCCCTTACCATCTACAGGTGATAAAATGAGTTATCAAGCCAAGAGAACAATTGCCAAAATCACTGTTCTCAGGAACTTCAAATCACTGAACGTAAAACCTGCTCTGTGTGAAAGATTTATCGTAGTAGCCAACATTTTGTCCTTTCTTCTCCCATAATCTACAAGGAAAGGAGAAAACTGCGTGCAGAGAAATAAATTTTGCCGTATGGACTGAGGAGAGTGATGAGGTTGCGGGGGGGAGGTTTACTTTTTCCCCCTCGCAGAGCAGCTTTACCATTTAGCCATCCTATACTGCACTTAGGCTGCCACCCACGCGTATTTCCAACCTGCAGCACAGAGCTGGAGAGGCCAGAACCTGCCGGGCACCAGGATCCCCGGCCCTCACCGACAGGCCCGCGGTCACCAGGGTGTTCCCCGGGCCCGGCATCGGCCGCTCTGCGGGGCCACAACCGCGGCCCCGGCTGGGAGCGGGCCAGGCCCGTCCGCCCCGGGGCGCCTCCCCCGCAGGCCCGAGGCACGGACAGGCCCCGAGGCAGCGCCTCCGCCCCGGCCGGCGCCGCCACAGCTCACTCGCCGCCACAGCTCACTCACCGCCCCGACGCCGCCTCGCCGCCCGCCGACACCGCTCCCGCCGGGGCGGAGCCGGGGCCGCCCGTCCCGCCCGTCCGAGGGGCGGAGAGCGCCCGTCCCGCCCGGTGCGCCCTGTGGGCCCTGAGGGGCGTCAGCCGGTGGAAGGAGGTGATTGTTCCGCTCTGGGGCGGCCTCACCTTCGATATTGTGTGTAGTTTGGGGCACCACAATGTAAGAAAGACATTAAGCCATTAGAGAGCGCCCAAAGGAGGGCCGTGGGGATGGTGAAGGTTCTGGATGGGAAGCCTCATGGACAGCAGCTGAGGACACTTGTTCTGTTCAGCCTGGAGAAGAGGAGACTGAGGGGAGACCTCATTGCAGTGTACAACTTCCTCACGAAGGGAAGTGGAGGGGCAAGTACTGATTCCTCACTCTGGTGACCAGGAAATGGCAGGAATATGAGTCAGGGGAGGTTTAGGTTGGATATCAGGAAAACGTTTTTCACCCAAAGGGTGGTTGAGAACTGGAACAGGCTCCCCGGGGAAGTGGTCACAGCATCAGGCCTGACAGAGTTCAAGAAGAATTTGGACAATGCTCTCAGGCCCATGGTGTGATTTTTGGGGTGTCCTGCAGAGGGCCAGGAGTTGGACTCAATGATCCTGATGGGTCCCTTCCAACTCAGCATATTCTATGATTCTATGAAACTGGGTTCACTGGTTACCTTCTTTGGGCTGTCTCTCTGGATGAAATAAAGTGTCGAAATCATTAACAATCATCTCATACCTAAGCTGACCACTTATCAGAAAAAGTTCAGTTTTCCAGATTTCTTCAGGTATTCCACTAACTCACAGGATTTGCATTTTTAAGGTTTCCCTTCACAACTGGGACAGAGACCTCCTCTCTCTGTAAATAGAAAAGTTCCCTTTAATCAGGACCTCAAATCACAAAGAGGATCAGCAGGCATAATGCAGATATCAAATGTGATAGATACACTACTTGCATATCACTGTATGTATTGTCTTGTGCATATAATCATTGTGTATATTCATAGAAAATGAAAGTGAGAGCTGACCGAAGAGAAACAGTTCCATAGACCAGACTAGAACACCTCTACTTGGATGTATAAATGCTCTGACAAAGCCAAAACAAACCAACAAAATTAAGAAACGAGTCCCAGAAATTATTTTAGATCCTAAATAAGACACACAAAGAACCTAACACTTTATTCTGTTTTTCTGTCATGCTTTTTGAGAATTCTCATGATTGACAGAGAAGACCTCTGCAAGCATGCACCGGAGGGCAGCAGATCCCAACCTGGGCTGTATCATGAGGTGCTTCAAAAAGGGGGAAAAAAAGAAACTTTAGTTTAACGTTGGCCGTTTGTCCCGTTGATGGCCATATTTTTCACAGACTGTTGTTTACAAAGCAGATATCATGGGGAAATCCATGCAGTGCTATATGTCCCAGGCTTCTGCACCACCCTTACTCTAGGTCCATGATACAGATAGCTGAAGGGATGTTGTTAAGATAGTGTTGATTCATCCTCAGATGATGAAACAAACACTCTTACCCTGTTAAGTGATGCTCAGTGTTTACCAGATCAGCAGAGATAGTAAAGAATAGAGGAGGTTTTAAATCTTGTCTGCCCCAACTGGCCCTGATATTTCATCTCTTGCAAGACACCTGATATGTGTGACTCCTGTTGGTAAAACAGAATCTTATAAGCATGTGAGTTAACAGGATCCACTGCAGTTTAACTAACACAGCAAAGGCAGTAGTGTTTGTTCTATTAGTTACAATTCTGTAGCATCTGGTGCATCAGTTTTGGTCTAAATTTCAACTGAAGTAATATGAAAAACATACAAGAGGTCCAACTTTTGCAACAAAGTCTGCTGTAAAATGGACCACTATGAAAATTCAAGTTGCTACCTATGCTCAGTAGCAATTTTTCAAGTTCTTCCCTTCAAAATCACAATTTAGCTTTTTTTAATGTAACGACGTCGTGTTTTGAGCAGGAAAGCCTCAGTTTGCATATCAGTCAGAAGGTCTCGAAGGAGGCCTGTTTCAACAGCGTTAGAGAAACCAGATGAGCAGTCCAACCTTCCCACACTTTGAGCAGTGTGAAGGGCCAAAACTTTGTTTCAAAAATACTTAGCTTAAAAGAATTTTACAAGTTATGGCACAGCAGGGAAAACAGGAACACTGAGCCTAATGGTTAAATACGTTGCCTTGTGAATGCAGCATTCAACAGTTTTCATAAAATTAAACTGGTCCTGAACCCCAGGATTCAGCTAAAGCAGTAAATTTAGGTGTGGTGAGGTATTTGCTTTTTCAGGTTTATCTTTCATATTTATAAGTAATATTTATTTATATATTTAAAAAGTAATTTTGCTAGCACCTGGATTAAATTTTCTGGACTATTTTAAGTACCCCAAGTATCTCGTGCTGACTTTCGGTTTAGAAGCATCTCACTCATTTTGTAAGTGCACAGTAATGCCTCCTCAATTTTTGATAAAAGTCTTACATGGCTGGTCTAACTGCTTAACACGTTCTCCTTCATTAGAATTAAGAATTAGTGCATTTTTAGGCAAATTTCTTTTCATATAATCTGGCTCCATCTTTTTTGTGAAGTAGGAGTGGTGGTCAGGAGTTTCTACACTTCAAAATAGTTTGGTGAAGCAGTTCAATTGAAGAGGAGAAAATCACTTGGCAGAACTCGGATGCTCAAGCACACTATTAACAGTCCATGGAAAATCAGCTGACTTTATCTCTGTTTTGTCCATCAGAGTTTTCTACCCTAAGCTGCAGTAGATAAGACTCTAATAAACCTGTATCTTGGTCAAATCAAAATTTAAATCAGCTTTCCCTTGGGATATAACCAGTGCTTTCCAAAGTGGTATTATACAAGTCATAAAAATAAAACCTTACACGTGGCAGTTCCAAAAGACACATATGTGTTGTAATTTCCTTTTTATATAGATTTAGGGCCCCAAAGATTTTTTTTGTCAAAAGGAGAAGACATTTAATTACTGATGGGACATAAAAGTCTTTGTCACAGACTTGTTTACCAAGAAGAAATAGACAAAAGCCTATTTTTCTGATCACAAAAGCAACTGGACAGCAGATGAGAGTCTCTTTGCTCACAATTCCTCTTCTTAGTCTCTTTCTCAATTCCTTTTCTCCCCCAGAACTGCTATGCCTTTCAAGTCCTGCTTTTCAAGCAAA